CCACACTGGCATCACTCACTCACACTCTCACTCACTCACTGTACATGAACATACATACATACACACAAACTCACCCACCATCACCGCTCCATCACTCTTATACTTCCTCTTCCCTTCTTGCTCTTCTATGGTCAGTCTAAGTCTAAAGAAGTTGGTAACATGTGGGGTTATCCGGTCCTTTAATTGTCTCCTAGATTTTCTAGCACCCTTTGCCCATATTTCGGTGGACATGGTTGAATTTGTTGAGCATGCAGGTCTATGCAGGTCTGCTGCGCCACAATGCCTTTTGTTTTCTGAATTTACGTATGGCACTTTCCAACGCAGATCAATGCAGTTATTTTTACATTTTCCCCCGAACAGTGTGACAACAGTAAGGCATGGTGTCTGAATCGTGGTGCCATAAGGGTTGCGACTGGACATCATGGACCATCTCGGTCATTTTGATAGTGAAGTCTTAGTCTCACATACACGTTCCCCTTGGAATCCTGGATGCCCAGTTCGCTTGACATCGATTGACAATTTGTGTAAAAGGGGTGGGTCGCAGATGGCCACTGGACCTGCACAACCGAAATCATCCAAAGGTCGACTTTTACCTGCGTATACCTGCGTGTTGTGCCCCTTTTTGGACCTATATGCTCAAACGACCTCAAACGTTTTAGGTGCAAAATGGATTTTGAAAACTAGGGGTCCGAAACTTTGTTTTAAGTGACAGGTGCAGGACTCTGGTGATCACCGGTGCAGCGGTGCAACGGGCTTTGTGCACGTTGCTAAAGTCGTCTCTCAAATAGATCTTGCTGAGAGGTTGGTGCATATCTCTCATAGTGATCGGGTATAGAGATAATGTCCCATGTGGGATCTTTCACAGAGTTTTTGCCAAGAGATCTTGTTTAGAGAGCTCTCACAGAGATCTTGCATCTTGCCAGGAGGTCTCTCATAGGGATCTTGTACAGAGATCCAGCACAGAGTTTTTGCCAATCAGTCCTTCCTACCCAGATCTTGCCAAGCAACACCAAGCAAGAGTTTCTAACAAGATAACTTGGGCAGAAATCCTTTGTGCGCATGTTTTTTAACACGTCCCGGCATGTCCTGGCAGGAAAATCGCAACCACTTTCGAGTGGGAATGTCGTGACTGATGCTCCTTGGCAGCCAACGCATGTTGAGAGCAAATTTTAACAAGTGATAGCAGTTCATGGCAGGTGTCATGGGACAATACCATTGCTGTGTATACAGTTGCTGCTTGACATTGCTGGTTGGCAGCTTGGGCCATCCCCAACACATAAGGCTGAATCTGCCGCGCCTTTGCGAGGAGACGAGGCAGAGATATGCAGAGAGTACTGCATTCCAAGGTGGTCACAGCAAACCTTTGGTTCTCTCGATGAGATGTAGGCAGTCATGTAGCTCTGGTGTGGCGCTTGGAGATTGAAAAGAGTAAACATATGCCCCCGAGCTTAATTAAAAACAGTGTGTGAGAAAATGATAGAAGATGGAGAAATATGGAAAAATCTCGTTGCTGCGCAGCTTGCCCCATAGCCAAAATGATCAGGGTGGCAACTCTGAAGAGAAGCCAGCGCCCAAAGAGACGAAGCATGTGCCAAAAAAGGACAGACAATGTTTTCATTCGCCATTCTTTCAGTTGCTAGTCATCGGTGCTGCAGTAGCCTTGTTCCGATGGCAGGGCGAGAAGAGGCCGGCAGAGGCCCCGTGCATCAAGTAAGGTGGTCACAGCAGACCTTTGATTTCTTCGATGAGATGTAGGTAGCCATGTAGGTCCGAGGTTTGAAGATTTGCAGCGTAGGAGAAAATACAGTATAATACTAATGAGATAGAAGAAGAGAATTAGAGAGAATTGATCGTGCATCAAGCCAACACAGAAAGCACACACTGAACAAAACGTGGTATGAGTGCCTAATCTGAGACACTCCATTCTATGAAATGCCGGGCCCAACCCCACCCAAAACATAGAATGATATCCAACGGGGATATTATGATGATGATGATGATGATGATGATGATGATGATGATGATGATGATAAGCAATGACAATGAAGATGAATAAGATAGAAACACTGATGATGATGATGACGATGACAATGGAGATGAAGAAGACGATGATGACTTTGATGATGATGATGATGATGATGACGATAAGCAATGACAATGAAGATGAATAAGATAGCAAAAAAATGATGATGATGACGATGACAAGCAATGACAATGAAGGTGAAGAAGACGATGATGACTTTGATGATGATTATGATGATGACAAGCAATGACAATTAAGATGAATAAGATAGAAAAAAAAACGATGATGATGATGATGATGATGGTGATGGTGATAGTGATGATGATGATGATGATGGTGATGATGATGATGGTGATAGTGATGATGATGATGATGGTGATGATGATGATGATGATGATAATGATGATGATGGTGATAGTGATGGTGATGGTGATGATGGTGATGCATCTTCGCCCCATCTCTTTCATTCTGAGTCGCCATTCCTCCTCCGAAACCGTTGCCGCGGTGAAGCAACATGTGAATGCGCTGCAAATGCCCTCGCAAACAGTCAGGAAGTGGGCGGCTGAAGATGTCCATAGAGGGCAACCAGCAGTTCGCTAGTCGTAACAACATGTAACAACTACTGTATGTATCCCACCTGACGCCCTGAACGTAAAGTAAATCAAGCCAAATGAGCATTTGATGATGAAGAAACCTGGTGTCAAAAAGGTCCGCCATAAAGACTGCGCGCATGTTCACCAAGCCGAGATCATCCCAGCCCCCTGTGTAAAGCCCTGCCACTGTGCGGCTCTTGGTCACGCTCAACCAAAACTTTCTCACAGCCTCCACGATACCTTGTACTTGCTCATAGATTTTTTCAGCCTCCAACAGTCCGGAACTACACGAACTTGCGTGCTTCGTGTGGCGTCGTGTGGCCATTTGGGTGGAATATGATGAAGTGAACCCAGTCTTCAATGGCCACTCTCATGCAAACACTCACAACAACTCAAGACCTGATTCCTTGGGTGTGCAGCGGGTTGCTGTCACAACATGCTGACGCCAAAAAATGTCCCATGTCCCAAAGCGCCAGCTCGGCTTCTGACCTCAGCATGGATCTCTGCAACAGCGTTCAGCGTTTCGTCGCACAACTCTGCCATAGCTTCAGCACGCGTGGCAACATATTCCTCCTCAAGGTCAACAGTTCTACACCGGGCTGGCTCACAACTTCATACAGCGGCAGATTGAACAGTTCTGCAAAACGCAATCGAAATCAATTTGTTTGAAAGGCTCTCATTGCGCTGCGTAACACCCTCAAGAAAAGGTACCAGATCACCCCACATTTGTACTTTATCAAGCAATTATGCTTCAATGTTCCAAAAAAAATCCCAGAGCAGTCAGATGAGTTGAGAAATAATATGCGCATACAAAACTTTCAACGCGCAACGTCAAAGAAATAACTTTGCGTCCTGACCCTCTTCTGACAAAGCAAATCACACCGGAATTGCGCATTAATGAGCGCTAGTGAGTATCAGTGAGTTGGGTGAAATGCGTTGAATGAGATCACTTTAGCGAGATGAATTGAGATGGGCGGGAGGGGGAGGAAGAGGCGGGGTAGATGCACACAATGATGTGGGGAAAAATCAAATCCACAGCATAAAAAACATAACCCTCCAAACTGTCCTCGGGAATCGGGGCAATCTCGTTATCGTGGAGTGCTCCCCAGGCAACCATAAACGGTTGCAGCTTGGCCAAGAGCCTTATGCCTTCCATGGGCGTCGAAGATGCGCCGTGGCGCTGCCACGCAGTCTGTTCACTTGCCACGAAGTTGGCAACTGGTAAGAACTGTGTTTGCAAGCGTGTTTTACATTTTCGTGGTTTACATCGCAGCTGTGTGCAGAGATCGTGACATACGGTGGGCAGTAGCTCTGGCCCTGTCGCTTGAATGGCTGCAAGCATGGCAAGTAAAGCCTTAAAGCCGTTGAACAATGGCCCCTCAAATGCTTCACTTGCGTGCTTTGGTTTGCAACTGCACCTTTTCACAAATGACCAAGCACCTTTTCGCACATCTGCAGGGGCTTGTCAAGCGAATGGCACTTGGGCCAAGGCAAACGAAACTCGAGTCTGTCACCACTAGCTACTTTTCTTCTTGTGGCACGATCACATGTGAAGTCGGAACTTCAAATCGGCAAGGAGCATCAGTGACCTCCAGTTTGCAAATTGGCCAGTGGCCCCACATTGTTGGGGCCGATGCTTTACTGAGCTTGGCGCTTGCCCATGGCCCCGGGAAACGTCGATGAATAACTTCAATAAGGTCAAGTTGAAACACAAATTGACCTCGCAAAACCAAAATTTTGCATCGATTTGCACAATGTCAATTTGCACTGAGGCGGTCACCAACATTACCCACCACCCAGAACAAGTGCATCCCATCCACTCCTGCCGCGAACGAGAGGGGTCTAATCCGTGAAACCAACACAGGCGGACAAACAAACAGACCAACGGACACACAGACTCACAAAGAATTACAAACACAGAGACGGACTGATAGATAGATGGACACACATCTATCTTTCGCAAAGCAACTTGTGCACCTGCAGTGCTCACGCCATGGAATCAGGGACATGCGCTCACACACAAGAACAAAATCAGATGCCAAATCCCAACAACGCGGGCCACGCACACACACACACATGTGCATATATAGTTTTACAATGTTTTTACGTAGTTTGCAAGATTGATGTTGCTTTCTGGATCTGAAAAAAATATATTTGATCATTGTGGTTTCTAATAGTACTAAATATGTTACGCGTGATAGACGGGCTGCATCTAGCAATAGCAAAAGCTTTGTGTAAGTATGTGTCAGCATATCAGCATATTGTTTTTTCTAGCACAGTGTTCAAAGTGTCTAGCCTACAGTTACCACAAAGGTGGTACATGCACTATGTAGTTGCAATGGTGACCTTTGCTGTTTCACTAGCAAGCCATCCGTTTATGGCCAGACTTGTCCAAGTCATTCTTCTTGCGAAGTCCATGACTATATGTTGTTTCACAATTCAAAGAGACTTGCTTTACCAATGCAGAAGTCGCAGAAGCTTGGCAGCTACTTAGTCAATAGTCATACTTGTCTGGGAAGGTTGCTTAGATCTTTTGTATGGTTTTGTAACCTTCTGGTTGCCATGATGCGCTTATATAGTGGCATGGCTTAAGGTTTACTCACAGTCAAGGTTTTTTTAAATACATTAGTTGCAGGGAGCCATTGTACATTGACTCAGTCCCCCTTGAAAATTTCTTGTGCTTGAAGTATAGTTGGCTAGTTAGTTGCAGAAAGTAGTCGATATGTAGATTTCCCACGGGAAAACTATGAGATAACATCCAAAAAATTAGATTTAGCTACCCATGTTTGAATGCCATGTGTACATACATGCGATTTAGCACATAAACGTGTATATATATATACATAGATATATACATACATGTATTGAAATAATATATATATATATATGCATACATAAAAGTAGTGTAGCTGTGTAGCTAGAAAACTCCTAGCCTATGGAGATTACGTAGTCGTACGTAACATAAAGTCACACCAATATGCCAAACAAATATTCCTATGTACACTAGAGGAACTTGAGCGTCTATTTAGACAACGTATATGCATTACGCAATATGTAGTCTTGACATTGTATCAAAGTAGTGCATTTAGCATTGTAAAGCGCGTGCTGCAGTAGCTTGTGGCTAGGCAAACCCAACAATTGTTCAAGCATATGATGGCGTGCAGGAGCCATATGCATCAAACATCGTATCACAGAGGCAAGATAAAACTAAAGCCAGTTTTTTCAAGACCAGGTCACAACAGAAGAAAAAAAAACTGATCAAACAGCAAAACAAGAGGGAATATGCAAAAAAACGGTTCCTTCTGGAGCCAGGGGACATGGAAGTTTGCCTTGCCAGTTGCCAATCCTTGTGATCAACAAGTGTTATACCCAAAGAGTTTTTGTTGCACCAAATCCTCGAAAATACTGTGGCACACGCAAAGTCCAACAAAGTATGTGTAGGGGCACAAGCTGCCCATGTACCCCCACACCGTAGCTGTTGTGCAAAACACGTGTTTGCATATCAAAACAAAAAACCGAATAACCTCAGAAGTCACATTGCTTCGTCCAATAATCAGAAACAGTGGTTCAATCGAGACAAGGAAGGGAGGACAAACAAAGGAGATGATGGAGAGTCGATATTTTCCAAAAGTTGTAACTTGTATTTGAAAGCACGGTTTCCGAATGCTCCTGCGGTCAGCAGCAGCTCTTTATCTTGAGCCAACATGTCGTCAAGCAAGGCGCACGTAGCTGCCATCCAGCTTGCTTGAAAAGGTTCAGTTGGAAAGATCAGTAGTCACACTGATAAGAACAGATCCCTGAACACTTGGGGGCTTGAGTGGTGATTGAAAACCTGAAGCTGTGAAGCACTAACTCCAGAATCGCACTCCCCCTTGGCCTTTCAGGCCAACAAAATTAGCTGCGCGACCCCCTGGTTCTCACATGCTCTTTGGGTCGGTCGATGTCAATACCATCTTCGTCTATACCAATTTCGACTCTATCATTCCAATCATTCCAATCCGTTCCATCATTCGGATCGCTGGCACTCGATCCTGGCGCGTCACCGGCACCGGTAGTTGATGCCATAGCACTGGGTAGATGCTTCAAGCGCAGCTGCCGTACTGGCAGGGTCCAAGGGCCCATTTTCAGCATAGCCATTGGGCCCATGCATACCGGTCAACATTCGGGTTCTCTCCTGTTCCCGACGCCACATTGGTCTCGGTTGTTGGCGCTCCCGATTCCATGGTTGTAGCATCGGCTGTAGCATCAGCTGGAGCATCAGCTAAGGCATCAGCTGTAGCCTCCACTGTCGCTTCCGCAACATCATCTGCATCTCCAGCAGTCGCAGCTTCTGGCGGAGGATCTTCAAGTCCACCTGCCCCTGGTAGCATTTGGCGCTGCTTCTGCAGCTTCAGGCCTCCGTGGCTGGCGCTGCTTCCGCGCCACTCTGGTAGAGGAGCAGCTGGTGCGGCTTCAGCTGCTGGCGCTGCTTCCGCGGCACTGGCTTCTGGTAGCGCAGCAGCTGGTGCGGCTTCAGCTGGCGCTGCTTCTCCAAAACTTACCTCTGTCAACCTCTGTTGCCACCAAGTAGATACTTCCATCGCATGGGTCAACAGTCTGACCCTGCGATCTCTCAGTCTTGGTACCTCCTCACTTTCAGGAGGTTCTTCATCATTTGGTGGTACAGCAGCAGTTGCCCCACCAGAAGCTTGTTCTGCCTCCCATTGGCTATAGCGTTCAGCTTGCCTAGCCAAGCCGCCGTCTTTGGCGCATCCTGCCCAGGCACCACAGCTGGAGTCTCGGTCACAGGCTCCACAGCAGTGCTGTCGGCTGTATGCTCCATAGCAGCGCTCTCAGCTGCAGGCTCCATAGTAGGACTGCTGGTATCGAGGGCGCCTTCACCCACGATTTCGGGTCTTTCTTCATCTCTTCTTTCTTCACCCACGAAGCTCGCTGGCTGCGAGGCGAATACAACCCCCGACAACGTGGGAGCCCATGGGGCTACTGTCAAAGCCACCACTGCAGCAGCCGGTCCATGTCTGAACCGATTCAAAGTGGACTTACCTTTTGACATCATTCCCAAAACCACTTTGGCGGTCTCTCCCCAGAACACAACCTTGGTGGCCGCCATCCCCGTGGTGAAAGGCCCCGACTCTCAACACTTGGCATGACCGGTTCATGTTCCCTGGTCATGTTGACCTTCTTGACCACGGCTAGTTCATCTCGCTTAGCTGCGCTCCACACTTTCTTGATTCTCTTGATTCTAATTTCTTGTCGCTCTTGGCTTTTGACAATTTCTTGTTGCTCTTGGCTTTTGACTTCACTTTTGTCGTTTTGATCCACTTTGGTAGCGGAGCTAGGAGCCTTGCAGGCCCCCCCACTCTTCGAATTGGATATGGGCGAGCCCAAAGAGATTCATCCAAAACTCCATAGTTCAACTTCCTACAAAAGACCAAGTAATTCGATCACCAAAACTTGAAACACTCGGAAATGTACACTCTTGATCTGTACGCCGATCCGTCCGTTCCGTCCGTTCATCACCTTCTTAAGTGTCCCTCACCCACTTGACCATCACACTCCTGGAGTACCCGGACCTGGTAGTCCATGAACGCCACAAGCGCCATGGCTACCTTGATCGCAGCAAAGGTAATAGCACTCGTCCTTGATCGCACTGCTCCCAGAGCAGCCACCACAGTAGCTACCTTAGCAACTTTCACCTTAGCTTCCGTGACCTCAGTAGGATCAATGGACGGTTTCCTTTTTCGTGGTTCCCCAGTACCGTGTTGGTCAAACCCGCACACAGCCTAGCACCCTCTTGGCGGCAAACCTTCCAATTCCCCTTGGAGCTGGCCAACTTTTCGCGCAAGTAGTTGGACCTCAGTCGGAGACGGCGAGTCCTCCAAGGGCCGTCAGGTTTGGTCAGGATTGACAAAGCGCTGAGGTTGTCACCGATCATCAGCTTCTCAAACCAGATCTCTTCACCAGGTGGATTTTCATTCGGGCTTTCCTCTGGTTTTTCCGGCCCTTTTTCCGTGGATTCTTGCGGGCCCCCCTCAGTGGATTCCGACATCACCGCACCTTCGCGGTATCCTGGGAGTTCTGACTCGGCGGTACTGAATGTAGTAAACGGTCGGCGTCCTGTTTCCCACATCAGCACCGCCCCGGCGTGCATGAGCACCATGCCCTGCAAACTCCTTTCACCGCTTGGGGCGAGGGAGACATCGCTGCCAAGGTGTTGGCGTCGGTGAACCGGAAGGTCACCATGGACACCCCGGCCCTTTTTCAGGGATAGTACACCAGACTCTGCCCTGCAGTTGACGCAAGGAATTCCAGGCCATAGCTTGCGAGTTGACACGCCCACTTTGTTTGGCCGTGTCAACAAGCGCCGGGGCATCAAACTCTCCACAACAACTCTCCCGTTACCTGTTGGGCTTTCCTCACGTCCTTGGCTTTTGTCCCCTGTTCAACCTCAGGAACCTCCAGCCGTGGCATTGGGTTGAAGCGCCGGCCCTTAGGCCCGTACCTCTCCAAGAGGTCTTTGACGTAGGAGGGCTGACCAATTCTCAAACCTTGGTCCCTTCCCCGTTTGAATTCAAGCCAAGCAAACCTCACCCGCTGTTGATCATTCACATGTTCAGGGGTTGACACCTGCCACTCTTGTTGGGGTCTCTCCAGGAAACCTTCTCTCGTAGCGGGGTCCCCCAAAACCATAAGATCATCAACATCGACCACAACGTGACCCACACAGCCTTTGTCATTCCACTTAGTGATTTTCCAAAGGTTTACTTCAGGGGTTGCCTCCAAGGCAAACGTGTTTCCATCTTTCTCCCAGTGAAATCCCTT